TTAACAAAGACACCAAAACATCAATCATTGGGGTTTAATTGGAAACGAAGATCACATATAGTGTCCGACATAAGTTACAATAAGCTATTGCGATCCTATTTTATGCAGAGTCGCGCAATAGGCCGGATCCATTGTTCGAAAATAATGCGAAGATCATCCATGAATCCAAGCGGGATTAAAAGCAGTAGAAGGTAAGGGCATCGTGTTCGAACTTGAACACAATCCCTAGTGCTGCAAAAGCTTGTAAATGCCACGTCGGACAAGATTGAGGTATCAAGTACTGAATTATTTTATAAACAAGAGAAAAAAACAAAGAAAAAGAGAAACATAAGAAAGAAGGAAGAAAAAAAGAACGAGACCATACATATGTTGACTCGATAAGAGAGCCACACATGAAATACTCCAATATTGCAAATGAAGGCATATCCGAGCGAACCCAAAAAAAAAAAAAAAAAAAAAACAAAGAAAGTGGGAAGAGGGGAAAAAAAAGGCACAACATTTATGGCGATGAGTCAAGAAAACCACTTATGGAAGATCACAACACTTGAGAAAAAGCCTCTTTAATGGTCGTTGAGCTGAAGCGATTCCAAGTTCAACCAATAGGACAGCATGCGGGAATCAACGGGAATATTGGAAAAAAACATCGACTTCATCCCTAAAGGCAATTCCACATAATATAGGAAATTAATAGGCCTCGACAGCCAAAGTAGGGAGGGTAGTGGCAATAACTGAAGCGCTTTTCTGTTGCTTGCCACTAATGCACGACTTCATCAGAGGGTAGTCACCTACCTAGTTACACATGTTAAGGCAACGGGAGAGGGGGAGGTGGCGAAAACGTTTGCAGATGGTGCAAAAAGGCCAAGAGCGTGAGAAACGCAAGCTGAGCTAAAAAAGCAAGGAGCACGAAAGTTGAGACATCGATCGCTAATACATCTCTTTCCTCCATGTCCTCCTTCTACAGTGTCATGGAAAGCAGCGCAAGCAACTTAGAAGAAAACAAGCGTATTAACCCGCAGGGGAAGACGAAGAACGCACACATTATCGGAATGCATGCGACAGATAGGTCCTACGCCGTGATGAAAGTGAAGCACGTGCACTCGAGCGATAGCCAGCACGGGGTAACAAAAAGTGTCAACATTTCATACAGTGTGGCAGCGCTGGCCGAAAGCAAAGGCAAAAACAGGCGCATACTCTCAAACGGAAAAGCTGAGAATTATACTGCATCTTCGGGGTTGCCGATCAACTGGTCCACCATAGCAGGGTCCACCTCGTAGTCCATGGCTTCCTCTATCGTAGCACGCGAGTACCGCAGTTTCCGAAGTCGTCACCGCAATCACCGAAGGATACAACCAGAAATGCACTTCACTGAAAGGTCGTACGTTCGTCCTTGGCCTATCAGTGCGCATGCGTTCTGAAAGTGAGATGGGAAACAACAAGTTGCGTCTTAATCTAAAATAGTTCCTACGACCCATCACAAGCCTAGACTCCTTCCCGGCCGACGAATGACACTTTACTTGGAAAAATAACAAAGTGGAAAACAAAAAAGGAAAAAAGGAAAAAGTAAAAAATAAAAAGAAAAGAAAACAGAAAGAAAAAAAAAAAACTTATGTTGAAAAAATGCATATGCTTTGGTCATCCGTTGACTCGCAATAACTTCCTTTTCAAGTTCCTTCCACAGAAAGATGTTCGTAGAGCAACAATAATTTTGTTTTTTGAAAAAAAAAAAAAAAAAAAAAAAAAAAAAGGTTTCGGACATAATTTTTGAAGTTTAAACGAGTCACATTCCTGATCGCAAATTCTCCGTCCCTTGCTTTATTCGGCTGTAGCATGCGCGTAGTATGCCGCATGTCCCAGTACCCTCATAGGCCTGAGTAGCGGAGTTCTCCCTACCTTAATCAACCCATAATTGTTGCTTAGGCACCAGGAGGTTGTCTTTTATGAGTTGTTGTTGGGATTACATGGTACATGGTTTCTTAGGGTGGCCAGATATGTTCTTCATAGACCAACGGAAAATTTTTCCAATATTAAATAATCATTCTATAGCAAAATTACAATCTAAATTTCAAATTTTCATTCCATCTTAAAAAATGTCACTCAAATTTTAAAATTTTTCATCTTACTTGCAAACTTTCATTCCAAGAATATTGTATCCCTTCTTATTTGGACTGCATGCTAGAGATGGAATGAAAGTCTGGATGAGTTCATGAAATATTTTGATTGGACTGTCATTCTAAGTAAGGATTTTCAGTTATAAATAGGTTAATCCAATCTAAATTAGAAGATATTTACTGAAGTAGAATGAAATTTTAATTAAAACATTTTACGACCTCGTTCAGACTTTCATTCCATCTTGAACAAATAGATGTAGTTGGAAGGAAAAACTCATATTTAGATGGGAACTTATCAAATAAAACTGAAAATTCTAAAATTAGACGAACATTAGAATGACAATTTATAAATGTGAAGGATTTTTTTTTTATGGAATATTTTTTCAACTTTCATTTCTCATTGGAATTTTTATAGAATTGTAACACAAAAAAATCATCAACCAATCAATTACTAGTCTCTTCTTCCTTTTCCTATCCTTCCTATTTTTTTTTATTCCTCGCCTACTTACCCTTTTGCAACTTTTCTCCTTCCGCCTTTATCCTCTGTTGACCCCTGTATGCGTGTGTGTTTATGTGTGTGTGTGTGTGTGTGTGTGTGTGTGTGTGTGTGTGTGTGTGTSTSTGTGTGTGTGTGTGTGTGTGTGTGTGTGTGTGTGCGTGTGCGCGTGCTTGAAAGGCATTCCACGATGCAAACCCCAAATTTGAATCTCGGTGTCAAAATTCCCAGGTCGAGAGGGGCCAGGTAGGCCTGTTTTAGAAATGTTACGTTGGGTACCCCAAAGGTCAAGTCTGATAGGGACCCAGTCAAAAGTCACATCCCATAAGCATAAGTCACGTCTCACAGTCAAAGGTCATATTCTACAGGCAAGGGTCACCACTCACAGTCAAGAGTCACGTTCCACCGACCCAAAAGCAGCAGCACACCAAGGAAAACCCGGGAAGGTATCGGCCCTACCGGACCTCAACATTCTGAAGCAAACAGGCCGCGGGCAGCGGGTACTAAGCCCAAGTCAAGCCAAGAGAAGCAGAGGCGAGGAGGCTGAGGACGAGTCAAGGCTCAGTCCATGTCAATATAATTTGAAGGACTGGCTAGCAGCCACGTTTCAGCGAGATTGTTCATTCGCAAGAAGTGTGGAACAGTGGAAGTGTTGTTGAGCGCTTGTGCACTATCTGCGATTGGCTAGCGCTGGAGCCCTGTTGGGCAGCGCTGTGCTGAGGAAGGAAGGCGGCCTTAGCCACATAGATAGTAGTGGGAGAGAGAGATGAGTCATAGCGGATGTATTCAGAAGCAAGATCTTCAAGGAGAGAGAGAGAGAGAGAGAGAGAGAGAGAGAGAGAGAGAGAGAGAGAGAGAGAGAGAGAG